GTTTGAGGGCTCTCTGGCCAGATAGCCTAGCCTAATTGGCAAGCACCTGGCGAGTGAGAGACTATCTCAAAGAACAAGGTGGATGGGATCTGAGGAATGATACTGGAAGTTGACCCAGTCTGGCCTCTATACACATGTACCGGTACATACGGGGGTGGGGAGGTGGGGGTGGTAGTGGCGTTTTCTGAGAGATACAGGATGGAATGCAAGGGAAGGCTTTGGCCATGGATTTTCAGCCAGGTGGAGCAGGGGAATAGTAAGGTAAACGGCCAAAGGCAGAGCTGGGTTGTGCTGAGGACGAGGTAGGCAGGGACTGAGAGCAAAGTTAGCAGCTACAATACAATGAGGAGTGCTCTGTGAACCCTATGGGAGGGCTCTTGAAATCTCACTGCCGGTGCAGGAGGGAGGCAGGTGAGTGTGTCCTGTGCATTAGTCAGGAAGGTTTCTCCCGTCAGTGACAAACCTTCCGGGTAGCGCCAGTTTCAGGGCAGGCTGATATAGGAGCTCAGTGCCATGCCACTCTTTGGTTTTCGAGACAGGGTTTCTCTGTGCAGCCCTGGCTGTCCTGGAACTCACTCTGTAGACCAGGCTGGCCTTGAACTCACAGAGATCCGCCTGCCTCTACCTCCCAAGTGCTGGGATTAAAGGCTTGCACCACCACCACCTGGTTACCACGTGTCTTTCTTATGACGGATGCTTGTTTTCTGTTACCTGGCACGTGGGTCTTCTCTACCCATTAGGGGACAAGGACGCGGGCAGCCTCTGCTCTTCATTCCCACGGCCACTGCACCCCATTTTAGATCTCATTCCAAGCTCAAGCTCTTTGGGCAGATTCTTGCTGCCAGGTGGATGCACAGAAACGTTACCACTGAACTGAGCGAGGGTCCTTTCGCCTACAGGGAAGGAAACCACAAGGAGACTAGGATACTCTGAGCTTGATAGTGCTGGCCCTCTAGTGTCCAAAGCTTGTGGACAGACTGACACAGGGCAGACTGACGCGAGGGCTTAGTGCTCCAAGTCCGGAAAACTAAGGTTTGTGGTTCCCTAACCTAGAACTCGGGGACTATAGAGTTTCAGGTGCTCACACGGGAGGTACATGGCTCTGGGCTTTGATTGCCAGTAGCCTGGCTGGTACTCAGTGAGTTCCACTGTGGCACCCATGGCCTTTAAGGCTTGTTTACTACCTAGAGCTCTGAAGCCTGAGGCAGTCGTTACCTCATCCCCGGATTTTCACAAGTTTCTGCTTTTCCCACACTTTTCCTCCTGTCCGTGTCCCCTGACTATTCTCTGAAACCCTCTAGCCACCTTTTTGTCCCTAATGTCACTGCCACCACCGTTTTTGCTGTCTCCTCTTTGCATTCCCAGCTCATCTTGCTCTACCCATGATAGCAAGAGTCTTTACCGGCCATAAAGACTGAAAGTAGGAAAAAAAAAAAAAGCCCCTCTACCTGAGCCTTTTATGGACAGAGCCAGGAGACTAGAGGAGGTGGGTATTTCATAGGTGTGATATGCAAATTGAAACGTGCCAACCATGTCCGCCCATCTTCAGCCCGCCCATCTCTGACAATCACAAGCCTCCCTGAGTCATCGAGGGAGTGTCCCTCTTTTGGACTTGGTGCCTGAGAGCCTCCGCAGGGTCCAGAGCAGGCAGAGGTGGGTCACTGGAGTAGCTGTAGGTGGGGGGCAGGGGGCAGGTGTGTCTAACCTTTTGACGTGACAAATGGATGTTGTCATTCACATAACAAAACACACAAATCAATCTCTCTCTCTCTCTCTCTCTCTCTCTCTCTCTCTCTCTCTCTGTGTGTGTGTGTGTGTGTCTGTCTGTCTGTCTGTCTCGCTCTCTTTCTCTCTCTCTCTGTTTCTGTCCCTGAGGGTTTTCAAGACAGGGTTTCATTGTGCAGCCCTGTCTGTCCTGGAACTCACTCTGTTGACCAGGCTGGCTTTGAACTCACAGAGATCTGCCCACCTCTGTCTCCCGAGTGCTGGCATTACAGGCGTGCGCCACAACTACCCGGAAAAAAGAAATGATTTTTAAAGATTTGTTTTTAACTGTGTGTATGTGTCTGTCTATCAATGTCTTCTGTGTGTCTACCAGTCTGTGTGCGGGTATGAGCACGTGAACACAAGTGCCCAAAGAGGTCGGGAGGCATCGGATCTCCTAGACCCGGAGTTATAAGAGGCTGGGAACTGCCAACTCTGGTTTTCTGCAAGGGTGGTATGTACATTTAGCCACTGGTCCATCGCTTCAGCCAAAAGCAATCTCATAAAGTTTTAAAAGGCTACAGTTTTGTGTTGGGTCCTCGTTTTAGCTATCCTTGGCTGCAGGCAAGGATGGGCTGCAGGTCAGATGTGTTTGAAAGTTCACTGAGGCGTGTCTCAGCTGGAGTAAAGGTTTGTAGCTGGGGGAGGTGACCTGGAGCGGGAGTCAAGCCTCCGATGGGCGTGGTTAGGAGAGGCTTAGCAGCTGGGGGCCCTTTTCTCTGAAGGATTCCTGCCCAAGACTGCCAGGAAGGAGGGAGAGTCTGCTGACTGATGAGGTACCTGCTAGCTCCAATCTTCCCAGAAGAGCATCACAGCAGGCTCCCAGAAAGGACTTAATCTCAGGACAAAACTAGCAATCTCAACAGTGCTTTAAAAAGGTGTGTGTGTGTGTGTGTGTGTGTGTGTGTGTGTGTGTGTGTGAACTAGGCATAGTGGTGCACACCTTTAATCCCAGCACTCAGGCAGATGCCACTGATCTCTGTGGGTTCAAGATCAGTCTGATCTACAGAGTGAGTTCCAGGACAGCCAGGGCTACATAGTGAGAATTCTGTCTCAAAAACCAGATTCTTTAGTGGGGGTATAGTGGCTCATGCCTTTAATCCCAGCACTAGCAAGAAAGAGGCAGATGGCTCTCTGAGTTCAAGACCAGCCTGGTGTACATAGTGAGCTCCAGGGTAGCCAGGGCTACACAGAAAATCCTGTCTTAGCCAAGCAGTGGTGGCACACGCCTTTAATCCCAGCACCCGGGAGGCAAAGGCAGGTGGATCTCTGTGAGTTCGAGGCCAGCCTGGTCTACGAGAGCTAGTTCCAGGACAGGCTTCAAAGCCATAGAGAAACCCTGTCTTGAAAGATCAAAAAAAAAAAAAAAATCCTGTCTTGAAAAAAAATAATAAAACACCAGCAAAAGTGTGTGTGTGTGTGTGTCTGAATGTTTATATGTGTGTTCAGGTGCATGTGGAGGCCTGAAGCAGACAGCAGGGTCTTTCTCCATTCTTGTCCTCCTTACTCACTGCGGGCAGGGTCTTGCACTTGCACCCTGAGCTCACCGAACCCAGATTTGCCACATTCTAGTCTAGCTAGCTAGTTTGCTCTGGAGATCCTGTGTCTGCCTTCTGAGTGAGTGCTGGGATGAGAGAGTGTCCATTGCTGGGGATTCGAACTCTGGTTCTCATGCTTGCTCTTATGCTGTCTTTAGGCACCAAACCATCTTCCCAGACATTAAAAGTATTTATCCTCTGCCTCAGTGACCTAGGTTTCTCTAACTGTCTCTGAAGAAACAGAATTTTGCTCAGAGGCAAACAAATGGAAGTCACTAGCAGAAGCACTGGATCTCTTTCCTGATGACAGAAGTGGGGCCAGGTGTAGCTTGGTTAGTAGAGTGCTTGTTTGTCTTAGTGTACACCAAGTCCTGGGTTTGATCCCCAGTATTGTTCTTTAAAAAGAATATGATGATGGTGGAGTGCCCCGAGCGGCCTGCAAGCCAGGCAGAAGCTGCCGCCAGAGCAGTACCGGTTACTGGTCCCATCATGCAGCAGGGGAGAGTCAGGCAGACAGGTGCGGCGGATAATAGTAAACAGACATAAGGCTAGACATAAAGGTAAACATTTATTACTTAAAGAAAGGGAGACATAAAGATATGGAGACAAACAGAGAGAGAGAGAGAAACACGTGTGCACACGGCAAGAGACGGACAGAAAAGGGGAAAGCCAAGATGGCGACGTGGTCAGAAGTGGCTGGAAGTGGGCGTGGTTAGCCCTTAAAGGGACCAGAGAGAGCATAAGGAATAACACCCAGTACCACAGATATACTCTCCCTAAAAACAAAACTCAGGAGAGAGGTGGCTGTGTGACACTTTTGTGGGAAAATATAACACATATTCTACTGACCCCAGATAGGGAGCCCATGACAGACCAAAGTACAGATACCATGTTGGTGGAAGCTTCTGTCCCTCTGGATCCTGCAGCCATTCAGTCCCAAAGAAACACACAGAGGTTTATATTAATAATTAATATATAATATATATTAATATATTAAATAATAATTAATAATTATAAACTGTTGCAGGGAGCGCTTGTTCGTCCCAGCCACCTAGAACTGAAATAATCACACAGAAGCTGTATTAATTAAATCACTGCTTGGCCCATTAGCTCTATCTTCTTATTTGCTAACTCTTACATATTAATTTAACCCATTTCTATTAATCTGTATATCACCATGAGGTTGTGGCCTACCAGCAAAGTTTCAGCACGTCTATCTCGGCAGCAGCTCCTTGGCGTCTCCCTGACTCTGCCCTTCTTTCTCCCAGCATTCAGTCCAGTCCTCACTGCCTACCTAAGTTCTGCCCTGCCAACAGGTCAAGGCAGTTTCTTTTTTCATTAACCAAGAAAAGCAACACACAGACAGAAGGACCTCCCACACCAATAAACTGTTTGATCTATTAGCTCAGACTTATTATTAACTGCTCTTATAACTTAAATTGACTCATAATTCTTATTTATGTTTAACCACGTGACTTGGTACCTTTTCTAAGGAAGACATTCTCACCTCACTTCCCTGCTTCTGACTGGTGACTGAGTCTCTACCTTTCTTCTTCCCAGAATTCTCCTAGTCTGGTTGCCCTGCCTATACTTCCTGCCTGGCTACTGGCCAATCGGAATTTTATTAAACCAATACGAGTGACAAATCTTTAGAGTATATAAGAGCATTATCCCACAACAGTACCACCAAAGTCTAAGTTGATGAGTCAATGAGTTTAATTGGGGTTACTTATAGGAATATGGGTGAGGGGTTACTTACAGGAACAGAAATGGCTCAAAGACAGCTGCACCACCAGTGTGGGTGACAGCTCACAAAGTTGGGAACCTGGTGCACACTGCACATCTTGTACAGGGCTCAGCAAGCTGAAGAGTGTCCTTTCAGAAGGTCCAGCTGGTCTAAGCCTCTTCCAGGCTGCTCCACTTGTCTTGAGAGTGACCACTCCCAGCATTCCTTGGCCTTTGCTTTTGGGGAGGGAGAGGTCTAGTGAATCTGGTCAGTTACAGGGACTTCCTGAAGCTGTTCTGAACTGTCTACTTGCTGTCTTAAAGAGCTTTCCGGGAGCATGGAATGTTTCAGTCTGGAGGAAACATCTTCACAGCTTAGGTGGAGGCAGGCTTCTGGGTCATCCTTAGCTGCTTCTGGGTCATTCTTAGCTACAACAGATATTGTTTCAAAAAAGAAAGAAGGAAAAGAAAAAGAAAGAGTGTATGTAGGTGAGCAGAGCAGAGGTGGCTGGCTCTATAGGCAGAGAGGAAGGCCAAAGCAGAAACAAAGGCGAGGCCTGGCTAGACCTTTTCAGTTATTTCCCTGATGAGGTGGGTTGTCGTCCAGCCGTGCATCACTGTAATGAAATACCCCAGGCAGCTGAGTGAAGGTTTCTTTGTCGTGTGAGTTCACATTTAATCCTCGGGTTAGCTGGAAAAAAGAAGGAGTTACTAGTCGTAGAACCTCACTGTTCTGCTGTTTTTCCATGAGAACTGTGATTCTCAAAGGTTTGCTTTGGCTCCTAGTTCTGCAGGTCCCTGCCCAAGGTCCAGCAGCCCTGTGCTCTGGGCCTCTGACCAGGGCTGCACACACAGCACAGAGGCTTCCCGACAGTCCAGTAGCAGCCAGAGAAACAGCTGGTTGCCCATAATCCCCAGTGAGGCTCCTCCTCCACTGACCTAGGAAGCCTTCACAAGGCTCCACCTCTTATGGGGACATAGAACCTCCCAGGGGTGCCACCTGGGGAGTACTCAGGTCTTGGGGAAGCATCCAAACCATAGCAGGTAAAGACCAAGACAATAGGCAACAGAAAAATAAAACAAAAAAAGATGAAGTTACTCCAAGTCTGATTTTTTTTTAAATTTTTTTGAGAGAGGGTCTCATGAAGCCCAGGCTAGCCTCCAACTCGATATGTAGCTAAGGCTGGCCTTGCTGATCCTCTTGCCTCCATCTGTCGCTGTCTGGAATTACAGGTGTGCATGAAGTTCTGTATCTGTCTCTCTTTTTGGGAAGGTCAAGCGAGAGCTTAATTTCAATTTGGTGACACAGAACGTCATTTGAGGTTCAGTGCCCGAAGGGGACCCCCACACAGTGGGGACTTCCTCCAAGACCCCGGATAGGCACAAACCCCACCCAAATACCTGTTTTCACAGAGAAATCCTTTGTTAAGTAGGGAAGGAAAACTTAAATGGCGGCTTTCTGTCTCTGGCAGAAAAACAGCAGCGAGTGACCTTGCCGGTGTAATTTTAAGAAGAGAAAGAGGGGAGGTCTGTGTTAGAATGGGCTAGGATTCAGGGGTACAGAAGATAGGGGGGCGAGGGAGAAGGAGAAGTGGGTAAGGGAGGGGGCAGGGATGTTTGTCCTCGAGAGACAAAGGACTACCCCTGGATAGAGCGAGGACAGATGTGGCCCATAGGCAACTGGCTGTTTATACGGGTAAAATGAGAAACCCTGTGTGAGGATGAGGTGTTTCATTTTAATTGGGCATGTTAATGGGAGGGGGGGGGCTTTTGATAACTGTACTTCCAAGGTTCCATAGCTGGACCTTGGTCATCAGCTGCAGGAGGGGGGAAGAGACCTTGGGGGCTAGCTTTAGGACTGTTCTTGGGTTGCCTGTCCTGGGCGTTACAGATGCTGAAGCCTGGCCGCAGTGACAGAGATACACATTGTCTGCTGTACACTGAGCGGTGCACAAAGCTCACCCAGCCTCACCAGGGAAGGTACTGGAGAACATCCGGGCCTCGGGGACACGTGTCTACACACAGGCATTTCCCCAGCTCTCATCTGTGCGAAGGACCTCTAATGGTCCCTTCCTGAACAAACGGACATATGACCAGCCTCGGGGCTGTTTCAAGGCAGAACAGATGGTTACACAGAGAAGAACCCTGATTGGTCAGTTTAGGTCAGATGCTCATCTGCAGGCCAGCCAATAGGAAGGCCATATGAGAAAAGATGGCAGCTTCTGCTTGAATTGCCTGCTGGAATTGAGGTGACCCTTTATAAAATGGAGGAAGAAGAGCCGGAGAGAGAGCCTGTAAAGTGTTTGCCGTAGACTCGAGTTCACCTCTGCAGCCTTCATGTAAAAAGCTGTGTACCTGTTGTCCCCAATCAGGGCACAGGCAAAGACAGGACAGTGGGATCCTTGGCACTTGTTGGCCACCCAGACGAGATGAACTGATGAGCTCCAGGTCTAGTGAGAGATTCCCATCTTAAAAAAAAAAAATAACAGAGGTCAATAAATAAATAAAGCAAGGACTGGAGAGAAGGCTCAGCAGTTAAGAGCACGTCCTGCTCTTGCCGAGGACCAGAGCGTGGTACCCAGCTCCCGTGTCGAGCCGTTCACAACCGTGTGTTACTCCAGCTCTAGGGGAGCACACACCCTGTTCTGAATGCCACAGGCACCAGCACTCGTGTTTCCCATCATAGTCCATCACTCACTGAAGGAAACCGGAACAAGAAATGGAGAAGAAGCCACGGGTGGGGTGCTGGGGAGGGGTTCCTCTTCATAGTTTGCACCACCCACATCAATCATCAACCAAGAAAATGCGCTCACGAGCTTTGCTTGCGGTTGTGGGCATGTTCTCAACTGAGGTCCCCTTTTCCCAAATGACTCTATCTTGTGCCAAGTTAATATAGAAGAGGGACAAGGAAGCTCTTACGACATCCGCATCGAGACGACGCTTCTATTGTCTTTACCGTTGGTCTTTTCTCTCCCCTCAGGCTGCAACATTGAAAATGCCTGCTACCCACTGGGTGTGTGCGCGGAGCGGACTGCCATCCAGAAGGCCATCTCAGAAGGGTACAAGGATTTCAGGGCTATTGCTATTGCCAGGTGAGTGGGATAGGCCAGTCACAGCAAAATTTTTCATTCTTCCAGCTGATATCCCTCATACACAACCCGTTCATTCATTCACCAGACCCATATCTATTGTACATGTTCTTCTTGGCAGACATGGGTAGGCCCTGCGGCTGGGTGCTAGGGATAAGGAGGTAAATAAGAAACAGAGTCTGAGGCTGGGGGCATGGCTCAGTTGTTAGAGTACTTGCCTAGTATGCAAAGACCCTGGGTTTGACCCCAGCATCGAATAAAACTAGATATAGCTGCACATCCCCCCCCCCCCAATCTCAACTCTCAGAAGGTAGAGGCGGGAGGATCAGAAATTCAAGGTCAGCCTTGGCTAAATAGTGAGTTCGAGGGCAGCCTTGGCTACTTGAGACCTTGTCTCAAAAAAGTCGGAGGGGTGTGGGGGTGGGGCGGCGAGATGGCTCAGTGAGTCACACACTTGGTGCACGTGCTTGAGGACTTGAGTTCGATTCTGAACAAACTAGGTAGAAAGACAGTCGTGGTGGATTGCACCTCTGACCCCCCAGCACTGGGCAGGTGGAGACAGGCAGAAGATCTCTGCAGCTCCAGTCTAGTCAAGCGTGAGCTCCAGGTTCGGTGAGAGAGCACCTTTCCAAAACCAAGGCGGGGACTGAAGAGCTAGTTTGGGGGTTAAGAGCACTGGCCGCTCTTCCAGGGATCCTGAGGTTTGGTTCCCAGCCCTGACGAGATAGTTTACAATTATCTGTAGCTCCAGTTCTCCAGGGTCCAGCGCCCTCTTTTGGTCTCTCCAGGTGTCACACATGCACATGGTACACATTCATGCAGGCAAATTACCCATACACATAAAATAAAACAAAATACACACACATATATGTGTATACGTACATATACACGTGTGTGTGTGTGTGTGTGTGTGTGTGTGTGTGTGTGTGTGTTGGATAATAACTGAGGAAAACATCCGGAATTGACTTCTAGCCTCCACACATGCATGCCCACATGCCTGCATACAGAAGCACATACATATCACACACACACACACACACACACACACACACGGAAAATTAGTATTAAAACAAATAGACTCAATCAGTGGTAGTACGACAGGAGACAGCCCAGAACTCCACCAGCAGTAGCCTACGGTCTTCCCTTAAACTTGTAGTAGCCTCCATCTAGGTAGAGCCAAATTCTTGGCTTTGCTGAAGAAAAGCATTTTAAGACAAGTCACTATGAAGTGGAATTGGAGTTTTATTAAAAGACATTTGAAATGTCTCTTAGATTTATTTTATGTGTGTAGGTGTTTTACATGAAGGTCATATATGTCCTTGCATCACCTGCATGCCAGGTGCCTGAGCTCAGAAGAGGGCATCAGATAACCCGGGACTGGAGTTACAGGTGGTTGTGGCATACCATGTGGGTGCCGGGAATCAAACTTAGGTCCTCCACAATAACAACAATTGCTCTTAACCACCGAGCCATCTCTCCGGTCCTTTAAAAGGTGTTTGAAATGTAGACTTTAAGCACAAAGGCTAGTAGAAAGAGGCACCCAGGGGAAGAACAAGAATTACCCAAGAGCTGGTAATCATGTCTCAAAGGAAATGCGCACTATGTTGTCCCAGGGGTTACCTGAGGGATTTGGAAACTGGGATCTCATCATTCATCTGGTTTCTAGGGGCTCCTCCCTTCCTCTAACTTTTTCTCTCTCTTTCCCCCCCCCCCCCCCCCCGCCGTTGTTGTTTTGTTTGTTTGTTTGTTTGTTTTTGTTTGTTTTTCTTTAGACAAGATCTTACTGTAGAGCCCTGGCTGGGTACACAGCTCTGAAACTCACATTAGACCGGGCTGTCCTTGAACTCACAGAGATCCTCCTGCCTCTGCCTTCCTCAGAGCTAGAGGTGTGTGCCATGCCTGCCACATTCTTGATTCTCAGCTCCTGCGAAGCTTCAACCAAACTCCTGAGTGAGCAACTTCTTTCCCTTTTCACGTCCCCTTTAATTTTCCGTGTCCTTCTGGTCCGCCTCAGACTCCACCCTCAGGGTTAGCCCACAGAACAGATAGACCCAGGAAGACTCTGACAACAGCAAGTACGACACGGTCCCCCAGAGGGACAGTAGAAAGATGTCACACAGAAACAGCCAGAGGAGCAGAAAGTCACTTGGTGTAGACTCCCTTGCCACCACCCCACTTTTATAGACAAAAAATAAACAGACAAAACCCTGAGGTCTGAGAAGTTACGGGAATTTCCAGGGAGTTATCGGTAAAGCTGGGACAAAACCCAGGTCTCAGAGTCCACTGTGGTTACTGTGCCAGGAGGCCAGATGCTGTTCAACTCTGCTAACGTCAGCACCCAGGCGAAGGTGCCAAAACTAGGGTCTAAAACCAAGCAAGGTGGTGACCTGGTGACAGCCATGTAAGCAGTGACTGTGTTTCAGGCTAACCCAACTCCAGCTAGGCTCCAACTGGATAAGAATTTCAGTCAAGGGCTTGAGAGGTAGATGGCTCAGAGGTTAAGAGCACTGGCTGCTCTTCCAGAGGTCCTGAGTTCAATTCCCAGCAACCACATGGTGTCTCACAACCATCTGTATTGAGATCTGGTGCCCTCTTATGGTGTACATGCAGGACACCGTATACATCATAAACAAACACACAAATAAATAAATAAATAAATAAAACCTCTAGTCAATGCTCTGTTGTGGCCCAGATGTGGTTGCTCTGACTCCCATGGGCCTCCTCCTAGGGGAGTGTGGTGGGATCATATTGGAGTTGGACCTAGAGCATGGCTAAAAATAAAGCCTGCGAGAATGGGTTCTTTTTTAAAAAATTATTTATTTATTTATTATGTATACAATATTCTGTCTGTGTGTATGCCTGCAGGCCAGAAGAGGGCACCAGACCCCATTACAGATGGTTGTGAGCCACCATGTGGTTGCTGGGAATTGAACTCAGGATCTTTGGAAGAACAGGCAATGCTCTTAACCTCTAAGCCATCTCTCCAGCCCTGAGAATGAGTTCTTTTACCGGTTTAGACCCTAGTAATTTAAGGCTTTTGCAGTGAGCTGCATTTGGGTGCCCCTTTTATACTCACTAGGAGAGCAGTAACCTTGGCAAATTAATGGTTGAGGAAATTGACCCGGGAAACGGTGAACCCAGCCAGCAGAGCTGCTGACCAGGCTTCCGTCTTTAGCAGTGCGGGACACAGACTCTGGAAGAATCATTTCTTTCTATGAAGGGAGTTGCAGCCTGGTAGAGAAACAGGGGCTGTGAGAGCAAGGCTGACGTGGTTTGTGCAACAGGAAGGACCTGGATTTCCCAAGAGCCTGTGCATTGCTCCAGTCTGGCCCAGAGGGGATTCAGAGTACCCAAAAACCATGCTGGAGTGAGTGGGGCCAGGTGTGCCCTTGAGAATCAAGGTGGCGATTCCCAACTTTCTCTGGAGCTGAGGGCTCTCCAAGCTTCCTTTCAGCTTCCAGAGAATAAACAGGGGTGTGCTGGGAACTTTTTGTGCAGCTGAGGACAGATCGGGATGTGCGTTGTACTTTATGAAGAAATGGGGAGAAAAAACTCAATTTCAAAGCTGGTCCAAGAAAGTAATGATGTTCTGGGGGAAGAGAGGCCAAAACCAGCAGAATGGTGTGGTATCCTGCGGGCTCTGTTAGCATTTGCCCAATGAAAGGCTTTTTCCTTTTGCTCCTCACCGGCTTTTAAATACGACCGTCAGGGGCTCACTGTAATCAGCAGATGTCCTTATACAACACCCAGAGTTTCCAGCACCCAACTGGCCTTCTCTGGATTCTTAACCTACAACCATATTCCCCGGCCAGCGATGCAGTCATTATCATACTAATGACTTATTAAACAGAAAGCATGGATTTAGAGGAAGAATGGGAAATGCCAGCCAGCTCATATTGGCACAGAGCGGGGCTGAGCAGTCCATGTCTTTCCCTGGGGTCACAAAGGACAGAGATGCTGTGGGCGTTGGCAGAGCCAGGTGACAGGAGCTTCTATCTTACCAAGCTAGCATGACTTCATTGTGTGACCCAGGTCTGCACAAACCACAGGAAACCCTTGACTGCCAAGAAAAAGAGCCCAGGTGTGATGGTTTGAAAGAAAATGGCCCCCAAAGAGTGGCACCGTTAGGAGGTGTGGCCTTGTCAGAGTAGGTGTGGTCTT